ACACAACACACTTTCTATTTCTGCCCAGTTATCATGCCACACAATCCCCATCACATGTATCTTTCAGTAGGTGTGGGATTAACTTTGTTGTGTGTAGTATTTAATTACAGCACTGAACTCTGCTCATCCGATGCTTATCTGCACAGTGCATCGCACACTCCTGAGCAAGGCTGCCTGTTCTCGCCCGAAAATAACTAGAGAAGACCTCCCTCCAGCCCCACGGTTCCCTCTGCCACCCCAGGGCAGTTCTGGGCTAACCTTGGGACTGATTTCAGGATGAACCTGACCCAAACCCTTTGCCTTGGGTCAGGGCCAAACCTGCCCAGCCAGGGTGTCGCAGGAGTAGGGTCCCAAGATGCTGACACCCCGCCTGGCATGCAGATGTCCCGAGTGAGGGGCCTAATGAGAGTGTGGGTTGGGTGGGCTCCAAGAAATGGCTCTGGTGAACACCAGCTGGGGTCCCCTGGGAACCTCTTCCAGCCAGTATCCCCCTAGCCCTGATCCTAAGATTATCTGTCCCCCTTCCTTGATAAATGGGACTGACTAGTTATCTCAGAAAAACCTCCCTGTGGGGACTTTTCAAGGACCTCTCGTTCCCAATGATCAGTGTGGTCAAAGGTGTCAGGTGCAGAAGGGCTTTTCCGAATATGATTTCATGAAGACACCTGGAGGTCTGGGCTCTGGGAAGAAGAGGAAGAGTAGGGACACTGGTTTTCAGTGTATGAAGGACACGGTTGCTGAGTGATCCTAGTGTCTGTCCTGGGGTGCCCCCTGCTGGCCACAGTCCCAGTTATCATGCCACACAATTGCGTGGACAGAGGTTCAGAGGGCCGTGGGGACCCGCTCTGCTCCCCAGGCCTGGAGCCTTCCAGGTCGGCCAGGCAGTCCTCCTGGGCACGGGTGGGTGGCGCCCCAGGGGCGATGGGACCCAGCCAGAAATGTGTGAGTGACATTTTCTGCTCTCCCTTTTCAGCAGGCAGGGTGGCAAGGACCACGCCAGGCTCTAGCCCGGGCCCAGAGGTGGCTCGGCCAAGAGGTGGGTTCAAACACTTGCTGGCTTCATGGGGTGTGTGAGGCAGGCCACCACCGTCCAGAATCCACAAAGGGCTTCTGCATGTGTCACGCGAGACGGGCTCACACAAGCGCCCTGGAAGAGCCAGACACAGCTTAAGTGTGTCGCCTGTGGCTCATGCGAATCCCCTTTCTTTTCTACAGTGAATACCTGACGACGTTGTTCTCCAGGGGCCCCACCATTGCCTCAGGAGCATCCAAAGTCCAAGAGGCTCACAAGCCTTCAGGACCCCAGAGGGCCCTTCCCAGCTGCCTCCTTTGTCACTCTTCAGTGAGAACCAATTGCCGTCCCCGTCCCCACCTCCCTCCCCAAGCTGCCTCATGCCTGTCCAGGCTGTGATGGTCCCCTGCCTCCCACCGGCCCACCCCTCTCCATCCCGGCCCTATCTTAGCCAATGTCACCTCCTCCAGGAAGCTCCTCTGACCTCCCGTCAGGGTTGGCCCTTCCTCAGGCTTCCACAGTGAGGGGATTCGCCCTGTCCCGCCTGACATAATTGTCTGCAGCTGCCTCTGACACTCCCACCAGAGTGTGAGCCCCTCGGGGAAGGGCCCATCCCCAGCACCTGCACAGGGCCTGGCACACAGGAGGGGCTCAGTGGGGGCTTGAGTGAGGAAGCAGGCCGTCCTCGGGAATCCAGCCTGCACGGCGTCTCCAGGCAGCCTGCTGGGCGGAGGTTGGGGACCCGCCACGCACCTCATCCATGGGAGCTGTGGTCAGAGGTGAGCTGTCTCTGGATTCATCCATTCACACACAAGTGTGAGTGTTGGTGCCAGAGCGCGCTGGGCCTGGCGAGGGCTTCCCACAGGACTGCACCTCCCCAGAAAGATGCTGAAGGGACCCCTCCCTCATGACTATGAAGGTCGGGACTGGGACCAGCAGCCAGGGCCTGCTCCCCTTTATTTGTTAGTTATTTACTTTTCAGTGATCTTCAATCCGTTCGCTCCCAGCTGTTGCTGAGTGGTATGCTGAGTCAGGAGGTTCCACAGTTAGTCTAATCCAGTGCCAGTTGAGGGACCACCCCACCCTTCCTTTTTAAGGGAGAACAATCAAAGGTCTTATAGATTTTTGTGGATAATGTAGTTCTGGGAGAAAAGAGGTGGCAGGTGCCCCTTTCAGAGGGGACAGTCAGGACAGGCCCCTCCCAAAGGCTTCTCTAACCGGGTCATTGTCTCCATTCCCAGCGGGGCTGCGGAGATGACTTTCTCCTGGCCGCATTCCCAGCTCTGATCAGGAGCCTTACCCAGCCGAAGGCTTTTCAGCAGTGCAGTCATTTAATTTTCTCTGTGTGGATGTTCTTTTTTACAATGGGGAGGTATTAAAGGGTATTTAAAAGCCGCCTCCACTCTTCTAGATTATGCCTGCCCCTCCTGAGCCCAGCAGAGAAAGCGGGTGTCAGCTGGGCCAGCTGACACGTGAGGACCCCCGCTTCCCCACACGGGAGGCGGCTGCAAGGGTCTGCTTCTTTACCCAGAGTGGGCAGCGGTGGTGAGAAAGCTCCTCATCCACAGCCACGAGGCCTGGCCTATGGGAGTTGGGGCCATGTGGGTGAGACAGAGGAACAGGATCAGAGACAGAGCAACACGGTGGCTCTGGCCAGCTGCCCCTTGACAAGGGCCTTCGCCTCTTGGGGCCTGAGTAAGAGGGGTCTCACAGTTCTCAGAGCCTGGGCAAAGCCAGCACCCTGAAGACGTGAGTTCAAGTCCCAGCTCTCTACTTGCTGTGGGGCCCTGGCCAAGCTGTTTAGCCCCTCTAGACTCAGTTTCCTCATCTGTAAAGTGTGAGGTCACTCAGATGTTCTGTGAGCAGAAAAACTGGGGAGTCACCTCATGCCCCTGTTTGGCCGGGGAGTCAAGGGTCCACCCCAGCTCCTCTTTTCTGAACATCATTAAAATGGTCATGATATGCGTCCCCCGCACACACTTGTTGAGTGTCCCTAGGCCTGTATCCTTCTAGGGATTACGGAGCCAATACACTTAAAATCAAAATTTTAGATTAATGGTCCAGTAACAAGAATGCCCCTCTATAGATTCTTCTTGCCTGCATCTCAACTCCCTCCCCCACCCCCTGCATGTGTGACTTAAGCAACTACTTAACCTCTCTATGCCTCAGTCTTCCCATCTGTAAAATAGGGATAATAATAGTTGTAACCCTCACAGGGCTGTTGTGAGGATTAAACAAGATGTACATGAAAGATGGAGAGTGTTTCAAACATTGCCCAGCACAAGGGAAGCCCTCAATGTAAGCTTGCTGCTCTGGTGATGATGATGATGGTGGTGGTGGTAGTGGTGGTGGTGGTGGCAGTGGTGATGGTGGTGGTGGTGATGGTGATGGTGGTGGTGGTGGCAGTGGTGATGGTGGTGATGATGATGGTGGTGGTGGTGATGATGATGGTGGTGGTGGCAGTGGTGATGGTGGTGGTGGTGGTGATGATGGTGATGATGGTGGCAGTGGTGGTGATGATGATGGTGGTGGTGGCAGTGGTGGTGGTGGTGGTGGTGATGATGATGGTGGTGATGGTGGTGGTGGTGATGGTGGTGGTGGTGGTGGTGATGACAATGGTAGTGGTGATGGCGGTGGCAGTGGTGGTGATGATGACGGTGGTGATGACGGTGGTGGTGGTGTTCCCCTTTTTAAAAATGCATGTTCAAAATGCTTTTCAGTTAAAATTTGTTTGCTCGTGAGAAAAGGCCTCTCTCCCCTGGGGGAATCTCAAAACACTTTCTGGGGCACTGGAGAGGAGGGGTCTTGGGCTGGACTCTGGATAAAACAGACCCTGACAAATTGAGGTGCCGAGGCCGGAAGGGCCGGGCTCTGCACCGGCGGGGAGGCCTTGTTCCTCCCGCAGGTACACGCCTCCTCTCAGGATCCTGGCTGCGAGGTGACACCAGACATGCGGAAGGTTCTTGGAGAAGGTGTGAGGAACAAACCTGTCCTCGCTGCTCCCATCTGCAGAGGCTCTGCTTTGTGGCACAGGCCTCAGCTTACTGCCTCTCAGCCTCACAACAGCCCTGAGGCGTGGGTGTTACTATCCTCATTTCACAATTACCCTCATTTTGCAGAAAACAGGCTCAAAGCCGGAACACAAGTCTCCCGGTGACAACCACAGGCGGGGACAGGGAGAGCTGGGGAGGACGCTGGGCTCCGGCAGGAAGGACGGGCCATTGCTGCGCCGCCACGGCCGCCTGCCTTTCCCTTTATGTCCCGCCCGCTCCGTCTGTGTCTACACGCCGCTGCATTAGTAGATCGCTCCAGCTTGGGATCTTCTGTGATCTTTTTTCTGTTCGCTTTGATGTTTTGGCACATGCATATCCCCTGTGAAGTCATCTCTTCCATCGAGACAGAACATATCTGTCACCCCCAAATGGTTTCCTCCTGGCCCCTCCCGCACCCCCTCCTCCAGTAGGCACCCGCCTGCTCCCCTCACTGCCGATGAGTTCGTGCTTCCTGGAGTTTTAAGTGTCCTCTCATCTTGTCTGGCTTCTTTCACTCAGCACAGTGGTTCTGAGAGTCCTCACCGCGCCCTGTGTCTTGATGGCTCATTTCTTGGAGTCTTCCTTGAATTCTCGTGATAAGCCCTACTTGGTCGTGGCCTATTATTCCTTTCATACTCTGCTAGATTTGGTTTGCAAATGGTTAACCTAGGACTTAAGCATCTATATTCCTTCATGAGGGTGAAGACACAAGCTCTGGACCCAGAAGAGACCAACCAGATAGCCAGCAACAGCCTAGAAAGAACCTGGCAGAAGCTTCAGGGCTCTGGCAACAAAAGTTTAGGAAGCTGTGTGATTGATGATCTCTGGTGTGAGTGGCGCTCTGCGGCTCCTGCTGGCCAGGGGCCGCGATGGTCTCCTCCCTGAGTGCAGAGCAACTTCCGCTGAATTAACCCACTCATCGCAATTTCAGGTTTCCTTAGAAGAAGAAAACAAAGTCATTTTTTTTAACTTTATTAATTCCAGAGAGAATTCAGAAGGGTAAAAAGCCAAATAATTATTATAAAATGCTTGAAAAAGCAGACCCAATCCATGACAAGCTGGGAAAGAAAGTCATCATGTGGTCACTGGAGCAAAGCAGAAACTCACGATCTTTATGATAACTGAAAAACATTCTTCCTGGTCATCACGTCTGAGAAGAAATGGTGTCCTCTGGGCAGATACCTAAGCAAGGAGGGGGAGACGGGAGAGGGGCCAGGGTGAGGAGGGCTGGGGAAAGCGGGGAGAGAGGGGCAGAGCAGAGAGACAAAAACTGGGGAGGACAAGAGAGCGGAAGGATGAGAAAAAGGAAAAGAGACAACGAGAGGGAGAGAAAAGGGACCCGGGAAAGAGAAAGATCTTAGTCATTTGAAAAAGCATCAACCAAGGGAAGCCAGTCCTGGACGTCTCTGAACCTTTAAGCAAAAAGTGACACCTGAGCAGCTCTGAGGGCAGAGGGGCAGGGGTGTGAGGAGAGGGGTCTGTCGTGGGTTGAAGTGTATCCCCCAAAAAGATACGTTCAAGTCCTCACTCCCAGCACCTGTGGACGTGACCTTATTTGGAAGCAGGATCTTTGCAGGTATAATCAAATTAGGCGAGGTCTTATACTAGATTATATAGATTAGGGCGGGCCTTACAAGAAGAGGGAAGTGTAGACACAGGCACACATGGAGAGGAGAACGCCATGGGAAGCTGGAGGCAGAGATTGGAGCGATGCGTCTACGTGCCGAGGAATGCCAAGCTTTCCAGAAAACACCTGAGCAGGAAGAGGCAGAGAAGGGACCCACGCAAGAGCCTTCGGAGCGAGAGCAGGCCCTGCTGACACCTTGACTTCAGACTCTCGCCTCCAGAACTCTAGGCCAGGTCCGTGGGGGTCCTTTTAAGCTCCCCGGTCGGTGGTAATTTGTCACGGCAGCCGGAGGAGGTGAATACAGAGCCCCTAAACAGAGCAGCCACAGCACCCACAACGGGCTGAACTGCGTCCCCTCGAAAGTCGTGTGTTGAAGTCCTAACCCCCAGTGCCTCAGACCGTGCATGTGTTTGGAGGTAAAGTCTTTAAAGAAGTGATTAAATTCAAGTGATGTCATTAGGAGCCGTAATCCACCTTATAAGAAGAGGATGTTTGGACACAGACAGAGGGCGGCAGACCACAGGAAGACGGGAGACGACCAAGGAGAGAGGCCTCAAAAGAAACCAGCCCACCGCCTTGATCGCGGATCTGTAGCCTCCAGAGCTGTGAGGAGCAAACTTCTGTTGTTTGCGTCACCTAGTCTGTGGTACCTTGTATGGCAGCCCCAGCAGACTAACGTGCCCCCCACCCCTCACTGCTCAGCCCCGCTGGGTCGGGGGCAGCTGGGGCCTCTCCTGTCTGCCTCTGGCCTCCGCGGCCGCGGGCGGGCTCGGGGGTGGGAGGAGCCGGGCGCTGCGCTGTGGGCTCTGCCCGGGGCCTGCCCAGCCCTTGCGGGAGCACAGTCCTCCTCCCGCGCCAGGGGAGCCAGCCCCGTGGTGCCTCTGCACAGCCGGCGTCCACTGGCCCCCCTGGGCCGGGCTCCCCTGCGGGCCTCAGCCGGCCCTTCCTCCCCGGGCTGGAGCTTCCCACACGCCCAGGCCACCAACACGACTCGAAGGCTGGAGCTGGTGCACCACGCAGGACAGGGTAATGATGGTGACAGACCCGGGTTCCACCTCTGGGCAAACGGTTTCTATGTTTCAATTCTGTCTCTAACACTCCATTTTCTCTCAGGTCTGGCAACTCATCTTTCAGAGCTGCCTGCTGTTGAATGGACTCATATTTCTAAGGAGAACGTCAGAGCAGAAAGGATTCTGCTTCTTTTTTTGTGTTATTTTGAACAGATGAGAAAACTAAGGCCCAGAAAGGGGAAGAGACTTGTCCCAGGCCTCACAGCTATTTGGGGTTGAATCGAATCCAGACCACCAGGCTCCTGAGGCCAGGCATGCTTAACACAAGCACCTCGGGAGTTCTCAAACGGTCCAGTTAGGTCACTGTTTTTTCTGCCTAACAGTCACATGAAGATTTGGGGTGGGCTGCAGAGATTTTGCCAATTTTTCTTTCTTTCTTTTTTTAAAGATTCGCTCCTGAGCTAACAACTGTTACCAATCTTTTTTTTTCTTTTCTGCTTTTTCTCCCCAAACCCCTCCAGTACATAGTTCCATATTTTAGTTGTGGGTCCTTCTGGTTGTGCTATGTGGGACGCCGCCTCATCATGGCCTGATGGTGGTGCCATGTCCATGCCCAGGATCTAAACCAGCGAAACCCTGGGCTGCCCAGGTTGAGCGTGCGAACTTAACCACTCGGCCATGGGGCCGGCCCCTCCAATTTTAAAAGCACTTCAGCATCTTATTTACTCCAGCTAAATCCAGTTCATGTCATCGTCAATAAACTGTGAGTTAACAAAGACCTTTTATTACAAAAATAAATTTCGGTAGTAACTGCTCAATTGGACCCTTTGCAATTAAAAATAAAACCATGCAGTAAAGAGAAATGCAATTCACAACAAACTAAGTTGTTCCTCTCTTTGCCCTCCACCCACCTGGGCTCCACAATTTGCTTCTCAATTTCAAACCATTTACTGGCAATAGGTTGTTTAGTACTGCTCTGTTTTCCAAATAATTGGACAATTTCATATTTTTAGCTGAGGATTGATTCCCTAACAGTCACACATCCATTTAGTCCATCACAGCCAGCTCTATCAAGAAAACAGGGAGACAGTGGCCCCCGCCCTCTCCAGCCTGTCAAGGCCGTCCCCCCACTGCCTGTGTGTGTCTCTTTGCTTCCTGTAATGCCGAATTTTGACCTTGTCATTGTCTAAGATGAAAGCTCAGAGTGTAAGAACCCCATTGTATTGTCTGCTCGAGCTGTCATAATAAAATGTCATAGACTGGGGGGCTTACCGACAGACGCTTCTTTCTCACAGCTCTGGGGGCTGGGGCCTGAGATCAGGGTGCCCACCAGGCCGGTTCTGGTGAGCTCCACTTCATACGATGAAGGAGAGGAAGAAAGCTCTCTTGTGTCTCTCCTTTTAAGGGCACTTACCTCATCATGAGGACCCCACTCTCATGACCTCAACTAAACCTAACCACCTCCCAAAGGCCCCCTCTCCAAATACCATCACATTGGGGTTGAGGCTTTGACGCGTGGTTTTGGGTTCAGTGTACCGTCACTGTAAGGGCTGACTGGTTGTCTGCATGCACAGTGCTCATGCGCAAGTCTGCACTTGGAATCATACTTGTGGGAATAATTTTTCCTCTTGCATGTCTCCCATACAAAAACTTGTTTGCCTCCAAGCAGTTTCCCCTTTGGCATGCTGGCGAGGACCATCGGAAAGGAATGGACCATGTTTGCATCCCATTAGTTGAAAGCAAATGGAAGGGTTGATTGTGTTCACAGCTCTGGAACTGCTCCTTGTAGCTGCAGAGGCTCTGAACTCCTCCCAGTGGGAGACCCCAGGGGTCTCTGATAATTTCCCTCTGATTATCCCTGTATTAATCCCTCACTCCTCCAACCTTTCTGCAGTTTATGGGTGAAATAGCTCTTAGAAAAGTGAAGAAATTAGGCAAATGCTTTGGAACATAAGTGCAGATAATCCACATCCCACAGACTCTCTTTTGTGGGGTTTTTCTATACATATTGACACAGCTAATCTTTGCTTCTGCAACATGTACATAAATATTAGCCAAGATGACTGGCATACGGTACTGTTATGGGTCTTTCAAGAAAATCTCCAACCGAATCCAATGTTTCCCATGTGGCACCTGCCACACCGTGGGCGTGGGATATTTATAGAGCAGTAATAATGATATTTGAAAACACTGTAATATCTAAAGCCTCTACTTCCCTGCAAATTCCATCTAGAAGGCTGCATCTTGCAGACAGAAGCTGCCAGCCGTTCACGGGGATTGCTGGGATGCTGAGCATTGCTGGGGTTCACACGATGGTGGATTCCAGCATTATCGTCTCTGAACTCTCATGTGGACGGAAATACTTGCAGGTGAGGACTGGCTTTCCAGTACTGGTCTTCTGCCCTTCAGTGGGATTCAGTTTGGGATGCCATGCCCCTTGAAAACCTCAGTAGGGCCTCAGGTTACATACGGCAGTTCAGGAAATTGTGGAATCGAAGAATCTCAGGATCAGACCATCTGTGAGCCGGGAGTGAACCTGGCTACCATTTTAATCAAAACCTTCCCCTCTTCTTTAAACCAACGAGGACATTGGTTTGGTGACAGAGGTGAAGCTGGGGTCTTTTTCTTCCTATCCCAGCACTCACGCACTCACCCCTGGTCTGTTTCTGGAGCTAATGCAACAGTGCATCATATCGGATTCAGTCCCATTTTATTTAATTTAATATGTGATCACCAAAAAGCCCACTGGAATAATAGCTCCCACTTTTAAGTGCCTGCAATGTGCAGGCCCTCCACCACGTCCTCATTTGCATCACCTCGTTTAATTTTATCAGAACCTGTGAGACAGACACAATCATTCCCATTTTCCACATGGCTCACAGAGGTTATGTGTCCTGCCCAAAGTCCCAAAACCAGTCAGTGTTTGAGTCAGTATCTGAAGCGGGCTGTCTGTCCCCGTAGCCCTGCTCCTGCCATCAGAGTCGAAGAGGAGCAGAAGATGAAGTTGGAGATATGGTCCTTCTATATGAGTAAGGCTCATTATTGTGTCTGGCAGGCCAGAGGCGTGGGCACTGGTTAGTCACATTCCAGCCTGAGCTTCATCACAAGTTAGCCACTGACCGCCCACCATGTGCCAGGCTGGGGACCCAGAGGTGGAGGGGGCACAGCCTCTGCCTTGGAAGAACACTCAGGCTATGTGGGAGACAGACGTGCAAACTTTCGACAGTAGCACCTTGTGATCCAAGCTGGACAGAGGGACGGTCAGGGGCTATAACCTTAACCCTGAAGGGTGGGGATCATCCCGGGAGGTGGTGTTACAGCAGCTGGGTCAAGAAGGACGGCAAGGGGCCAGTGAGCCAACGGGGGATGCGAGAGGAGGTAGGGCTGCCAGGCAGGGGACCTGCCTGGAGAGGGCCCAGGAAGTCAGAGGGGTACAGTGGTTGGCAGAGACCAGATCACAGAGGGCCGTGGATGTATTGCCAAAGTCAGGGATAGACTCCACCCAGGGGACTAGGGGAGCCCTGCGGGTCATGGATGGGGAGGGTCGTCTGACTTGGATGGATAACCCATTTGGGGTGGGAGGTTTGGGGAAGGGGCGGGCGGGGGCAGGGTGCCCATGGAGGCTAGTGTAGG